GATAGATAGATAGATAGATAGATAGATAGATAGATAGATAGATAGATAAATAGCAATAGCCCTTAGACTTATATACTGCTTCACAATGCCTGTTGCCCCAAACAATCTGGGTCCTAATTTTACTCACCTCAGAAGGATGGAAGACTGAGTCAAACTTGAGCCGGTCAGGATCGAACTGCTGGCAGTGGGCAGAGTTATGGAAGGAGGGAGGGAGGGAAGGAAGGAAGGAAGGAAGGAAGCAATAGTCCTTAGACTTATATACTGCTTCACAATGTTTTACAGCCCTCTCTAAGTGGTTTACAGAGTCAGCCTCTTTCCCCCCACAATCTGGGTCCTTATTTTATCAACCTCGGAAGGATGGAAGGCTGAGTCAAGCTTGAGCCTGGTGGGATTCGAACTGCCAAACTGCAGGCAGCCGGCAATCAGCAGACGTAGCCTGTAGTATTGCACTCTAACCACTCCACCACCAAGGCTCATGAATGTGGCATTGACAGAAATAGAAGGGACTTTTGACAGTCTACATTGTTAGTCAAGTCATGTAGAGAGTGCTACTTTGGTTTAGTGATGAACTTACCAGGCTAAAAACTAGGAGATTGTGAGTTCTAATCCCACTTTGGGGTTGAAAGCCAGCAGGATAACTTTGGGTCAATCATCAGGAGACAGTGAGTTCTTGTTGTGCCAGTTGGGTTGAAAGCCAGTTGGGCTGAATGTTGTTTGGATGTGCACTTTGTTTTATTTGTAGTTAGCTGTTGAACAAATATAATGCTTGACTTACGATCCTGGAATTATGGTTATAAGTTGTGCTAATATTAAGCAAATCCACGCATAATAACACCCAACTCTATAATTTTTTTTGCAGGAGTGGGTGTCATTAAGTAAATGTTGAAGTTATTAAGTGAATACGTTGTCCAACCTGGGTGTTTTTTGCCAGAAATCTCAAGTAAACACTGCTGTCCATCAAAAAAAAAAACCAATATAAATCGTGCACCCAACTGTATAACTTTTTGCTCTGTGTGTATGTGTGAGATTAAGTAAATGTGAAGTCATTAAGTGAATACATTGCCCACCCTAGGTGGGTTTTTTTTGCCAGAAACTGGAAGTAAAAACTGCTTTCCATTAAAAAAAAAACCTATCATAAATCTTGGTCATATCTCTTTGGAAATGGTCATAAATGTAAATTGATTGCTGAGCACCTAACATGGGATCCCATGACCACATTTGGGGGGTCATCAGAACTTCAAACTTAGGTCAGAAGTAGCCTTGGGGAGGTCTGTCATCGGTTTGAACAGCCATTAATGCATCAGTAGTAAGTGGAGTAAATAAGTAAATAAGTAGTAAATAAGTAAATAACCAGTAAATAAGGAGATTTCCTTTACCCGTTTGAACTGACCCCTCCTAATTTTCTCAGTCTTTGTTTTGACTTGCCGCTCTTCCTTATTTCCGCAGATCCACGACATCTTCCACGTTTTCCCCCAAACTCAGGAGGATGTGGTAGAATTCATCTTCGCCTCCGAGTGCAAAACGGGATTCCGACACCTGTACAGAATCTCCACCGTTTTGAAAGAGAGCAATTACAAGCGATCTTCGGGCGGACTCCCAGCCCCAAGTAATTCCGTTTTGCTTCTGTGTCTTAATCAGTGGAAGACGCTAGGCGTGCATGCGGAAGGTCTCAAATTCAGTATAGGTAGTCCTCAACGTACAACCACTTGTGACTGGTCGTTCGAAGGGTTAGGGTTCGAAGTTACAGCGGCACTGAAACAAGCTGAGTCAGGTCACATGGTGAGCCGCTTAACGGCTGCACTAACTTACAACCAAAATTCCGAGCTCAATCGCGGTTGCTAATTGAGGACTACCTGTAAGGCAGCAAGGCTATATAAGTGTAAGGTGGAAGGCCTGTCTCTTATCTGAAAACCTCTGCCAAATCTTTTATCGGCATAAGAAGTAGCTTGCATGGGTTTTCCCGCTTTTTTCAAGAGGCAACTGGACTTTCTGCTTTTTTCCTTGAAGATGTTTCGCTTCTCATCCAAGAAGCTTCTTCTGCTCTGACTGGATGGTGGGGAATGGAAGGATTTAGACCCAGTGGTGGGATTCAAATATTTTTACCACCGGTTTGGTGGGTTTGGCTTGGTGGGCGCGCTTTGCATGCACGCACACGCTTTGCATGCACATGTGCGCCAAATGCGCACTTTGCGCAGGCACAGAGGCATTCTAACTCACCTGAAAGCCTCCAGGATCCCGATCGCTTCAGCAGCTGCTGCGCAGCACTCTTCTATGCCATGCAAAGCAGCTGCGCCTCAAATTCAGCGGATAAAAGTGATCTGGGAGCACAGGCAGGCAGGTGGGCCCAACAGCAAAGTGGCGGGGAGAACTGGTTTGGACTCCGCTGCTCCTTGCTGCAACCGGTTCGGTAGAATCAGGCCGAACCGGTCGAATACCACCACTGATTTATACTCCTTGCAGACCACTGGTCATTTGCATTGTTTTTAGGCAGTCGTCGAGTCCACTTGGAGGTTTTTCGGTATCCTCAGGGTCACCTAAGTAGTGCAAATGGATGTGGAGCTTCTTGGAACTGCTGAAAGGACTGTGGTTGTAGACTGGAGATAGAGGATGTCGTATCCCTCTCCCTCCGTTGAGAGCAGGGGTGGGATTCTACAGGTCCACACCTATTCTCTAGAACCGGTTGTTAACCTTCTAAGCAGTTCGGAGAACCAGTTGTTAGAAGAAATTACTGGGCTAATCCTGTAAGGAAGGCAGGAAGGAAACATTCTGGTGTTGCTTACAGAAACTGCCTCTCCATTAACCCTTATTACATTCTTGGCAGGACTAGACTTCCTGTCTCAGGAACTTCTCTGGAGTTTTTTCCCCCTCCTTTGCTGGTGCTTTGCTTGTGTGGAATGACCCTTCAAAGTTACAATGGCACTGAAAAAAGTGACTTATGACCATTTTTCCCACTTACGACTGTTGCAGCATCCCCACAGTCATGAGAGGCCAGGCGCGGAGATGCGTGCCTCGATGTGAGTGATGTTGAGTTGGCCACGCCCAGCCAGTCACATGACCACCGAGCCATGCCCACCAACTAAGCCACGCCCACAGAACTGGTTGTTATTTGAATTTGAATCCCACCCCTGGTTGAGAGGGGCTGTTCAGCCTTAATGTAGGTGGCCTCTTGGTCTCCTCTTTCAAAGTTTCGAAAGAGTGCTAACAACCAGGTGACTGCAAGGAGTATAAATCCTTCCGTTCCCCACCATCCAGTCAGAGCTGGAGAAGCTTCTTGGATGAGAAGTGAAACGTCTTCAAAGAGAAACAAAGAAAGTCCAGCTGCCTCTTGAAAAAGCATTTTCGGGACAACCACGACCTGGATGACTGAGAATCCCCAAAGCCAGTCCCAATTTCTTGCATGCCTCTTCTATGTTCGGAAATGATGTTGCGTAGTTGAGCTGGGGAAGAGCATTGATGGGCTCCCGTAACTTTGATCTCCTTGTAGGTGACTTCTTATGTCATGTCAAAGAAGAGCTGCCTATCACCAGTGGAGAATGGGAAGTGCTTGGCCGACACGGCTCAGAGGTAAGCTGCTTGGTCTCTCTTGTCTTTGATTGATAACGTTCAACTGGACCATTCATCGTTTTCATTAGATTATTGGGGTATCTCCCATGAACACGTGCTGTGATGACCCTGGGCGTGACACAAAAATAACAAAGTCACCAAAGTAGAATAAATTCCCTTTAATGCCTCCAACTTGACCCCAATGTCCAATTATCCTCGGCCGGATAACAAACTCTTCCAAAAACAGTCTACGGAGGGCAGAAATGCAGACCGAACCCAAAGTAAAGATAATTAGAAATAAAAAAAACCAACACAAACCACACTGAAGTAATTAACACGGCAGGCCAGGATGATAAATTACAGACTTTCAAAGGATAATGCAGCACCCACTGTTGGGAGGATGCCAAAACCCGATCAAGATAATGCACGCTTTGCTTCCAGCAAGGAGCCATGTGCAAACACCCCACTTATATCCTGTTCTCCCAGCTGCAACTAATGAAAGGGATCAGGGCCCTTTTCTCTCCCGAAAGCCACATTGCTTCCTTCTCCATTCCTCCCTGCGTGACTTAGGATGAAGAGGGGATGGCCCTGGGTCTTCCTCTAATGCCCAGCTGGACTGTGCCTTTCCCCCGTTTCTTCCACAGCCACCGGAGCCACACTCCCACTCCCTGTCAGCTGCTCAACCTCCCCCTCAGAATCAGACTCCAACAAGGGCATGACACGTGGCTGGTTTTGCCAGGTGCAAAAAACCCAAATTCTGGGCTCAATAGTCATGTAGGTCATCTAGTGAAGACCTCCTGTATAGCAGCCATACCCTTCTTTGCTTCCTGTGTGGATCCTGTCTCTTTTCTAAAGGTGGAGCAATTTAACTGATTTATTGCTAAAATTTATTACACAGGAATCTTCTCAATTAACAGTCAGCCTCTGGTTATAGCTAGGTAAGGTTCAATGGCAATTAAGGGAGGGCTGGACTTAATTCTTGACTAGAATACTGCATCCAGTTTTGGTCACCACTGTGATGACCCGGGGCATGTCACAAAAATAACCAAGCCACAAAAATAGAATAAATTCCTTTTCATGCCTCCAACTTGGCCCCAATGTCCAATTATCCTCTGTTGGATATCAAACTCTTAAAACAGTTTACGGAGGGAGTAAATGCAGTCCGAACCCAAAGTAAAGTTAATTAGAAATGTTAAAAACCCAACACAAACCATGCTGAAATAATTAAGACGGCAGGCAAGGATGATAAATTGCAGATTTCTATCAGATAATGCGGCAACCACAGTTAGGAGGAAGCCAAAACCCAGGTAAGCTCTGACAAGAATAATGCACGCTTTGCTTCCAGCAACTTTGCCATGCGTAGTTTATCCTTTTAAACAATCCTCCCAGCTGCATTCCATGAAGGGGATCAGGGCCCCTTCCTCCCCCGTAGACCACACCACTCATGTTTCTCCCTTATCCACTCCTCCCTGCGTGTCCTAGGATGAAGAGGGGATGGGCCTGAGTCTTCCTCTGAATGCCCATCTGGCCTGTGCCCTTCCCCAGTTTCCTCCACAACCACCGGAGCCACAATCCCACTCCCTGTCAGCTGTTCCATCTCTCCCTCGGAGTCAGACTCCAACAGGGGCATGACAACCACACTATAAAAAAGATGTTGAGACTCTAGAAAGAGTGGAGAGAAGAGCAACCAGGATGATGAGGGGACTGGAGGCTCAAACATACAAGGAACAGTTTTCCAGTGCACAACATTAATTAGATTTCTAAGATGAGACTGGACAGCCACTTGTCTGGAAAGGTACAGGGCCGTGATGGCGAACCTATGGCACACATGCCAGAAGTGGCACGCAGAGCCATCTCTGCGAGCACGCGAGCTGTTGCCCCAGCTCAGTTCCACTGCACATGCACCTGCTGCCAGCCAGCTGATTTTCAGGTATCTGCCGTGCATGTGGGCGGGGGGCGCATGCGGGAGACACTTGCGCATGTGGAGGGGTCATGCATACTTTGCATTATGGGTGCAGGCAGGGGTGGGATTCAAAAATTTTAACAACCGGTTTTGTGGACGTGGCTTAGTTGGTGGGCATGGCTTGGTGGTCATGTTATTGGCTGGGTGTGGCCAACTCAATATCACTCAAATCGAGGCACACATCTCCTTGCCTGGCATCTCATGACAACAGTCGTAAGTGTGAAAAATGGTCATAAGTCACTTTTTTCAGTGCCATTGTAACTTTGAATGGTCACTCCACACAAGCAAAGTACCAGCAAAGGAGGGGGAAAACAACTCCAGAGAAGTTCCAGAGACAGGAAGTCTAGTCCTGCCAAGATTGTAATAAGGGTGAACGGAGAGGCAGTTTCTGTAAGCAACACCAGAATGTTTCCTTCCTGCCTTCCTTACAAGATTAGCCCTGTAATTTCTTCTAACAACCGGTTCTCCGAACTGCTGAGAATGTTAACAACCGGTTCTAGTGAATAGGTGCGAACTGGTAGAATCCCACCCCTGGGTGCAGGCACTTGTGCGCGTACACGCGCACGCGACAACAAAAATGTTAGCTGCCACTGATCTAGTCCAACCCTCTTCTCAGGCAGGAGGCCCTGTGCCATTTCAGACAAAAATGGCTTTGCAGAGTCATGTGGAGGATATTCTAGTACTTGGTAATTCTCCATCCACTTCCTTGTCAGGCAGTCGAGCTACAAATGACCTGGCTGCTTTGGGTATCCTTGATGGTAGAAATGTGGGTCATTTCTGTTTTGTGCTTTTGTTTTTTAATCAGATCCGGGTGGATGAAGTTAACAAACTGGTATATTTTGAAGGTACAAAGGATTCTCCCTTGGAACACCACTTGTACGTTGTTAGCTACGAAAACCCTGGAGAAATTCAGCGGCTCACCGAAAGTGGCTTCTCCCATGCTTGCTATGTTAGTCAGGTACCTATTCTAATCTAGGCAGTGGTGGGATTCAAATTTTTTTACTACCGGTTCTGTGGGCGTGGCTTGGTGGGCGTGGCAGGGGAAGGCTATACTGCAAAATCCGCATTCCCTCCCCAGCCCACTAACCTGCTTTCCAGCTCCATTCTCCTGTGCAGGGCAACCAAAGAAGAACCAGCCAATCAGCTGGGACTCAATGGGAGGCTGAGGAATTCTGGGAGTTGAAGTCCACCCATCTTCAAGTTGCCATGGTTGAGAAACAACGATCTTCACGATGGAGCAAATCTCCAATGCTTGTTGGAAGGTTTTCTCTTATCGTGAAGAAACGGCAGTTCAGCTGTAGTCGAGTTGACCCTTGTTCTTGGGGAAAAGTGAAGAAGGAACCGGAATGCAAGCCAACATTGGTTTGTGGGGGTCTATATGATTTATCTTTCTTTTTGCAGGACTGCGACATGGTTATATGTAAATTCAGTAACCAGAAATGCCCCCACCAAGTCTCCCTCTACAAGCTGACTGGTCTGGAAGAAGGGATTGCTCAAAGGGCCAAGGAATTCTGGGCCACCATTTTGCATTCGTCAGGTAGGCGATTTTCTCTCAGGGGCCGGGCATGGTTCCAGTCTAGGGTGCTGTGAGGCTTGCGATGCTCAGGGGCATTTTGGTCTTATGTAGGGAACCCAGAAGCGGGGAGGGAGGGAGGGAGGGAGGGAGGGAGGGAGGAAGGAAGGAAGGAAGGAAGGAAGGAAGGAAGGAAGGAAGGAAGGAAGGAAGGAAGGAAGGAAGGAAGGAAGGATTGTTTTGTACCAGAAGTCAGAAACTTCTGGCTTCTTTTATGGAAAATTGGGTGTTTCAAAAAAAGGGAAAGGAAAGGAATGGAATGGAATGGAGAGGAGAGGAGAGGAGAGGAGAGGAAAGGAAAGGAAAGGAAAGGAAAGGAAGAAGGGGAAAGGGAAAAGGGGAAAATAAAAGGGAAGAAGGGAAAGGAAAGAGGGAAAGGAAGGAAGAAGAGAAAAGGGGGAAAAGAGGGAATGGAAAGGAATGGAAGAAAGGAAAAGGGGAAAGGAAAGGGAAAGGAAAGGAAGAAGGGGAAAAAGGAAGAGAGAAGAGAAGAAGGGAAAGGGAAGGAAAGAGAGGGAAGGAAAGGAAGGAAGAAGGGAAAAGGGAAAGGAAAAGGAAAGGAAAAAGGGGAAGAAATAAGGGAAGGGAAGGAAGGAATTTGTGTGTCCCGTTTGTCCTATGCCCCATATTTCAGCCTTTTGCAACCAGTTACTCCTAATTTAAACCTGACTTCCGGCAGATAGGTTTGGATATTAGACCAACAAGAAAGCTGCTCAAAATCCAACATAAGGCCAGCTTCCCTCCCTCCTTCCTTCCTTCCTTCCTTCCTTCCTTCCTTCCTTCCTTCCTTCCTTCCTTCCTTCCTTCCTTCCTTCCTTCCTTTCTTTCTTTCTTTCTTTCTTTCTTTCTTTCTTTCTTTCTTTCTT